TTTTGTAGGGGAAATCAAGATCCAATGGAATAGCTAGAAAAGTTTAACAAAGTAGCAAAGATAAATTAATACACAGATAAATATAAGCTCTGTATAGTTGGAGGATATTTACAAGGTGCAAATGAACAATGGTTCAATGAAATGTAAGAGGAACAGAATTCAATTACTTATTGAAATAACAGTAGTCATAAATTATTTGAATTTATATTTCTAATTAGTTTTAAAACCACTGTATTAATAAACCAGTGAAGATTCAAACTATAGATAAAGATAAAAAAATTAGGTAAAATTGCAGAGCAGTATACAAATGATGTTAGAAGGCTAATTAAGAAGATTGACAGAAGGAATAGATAAAATGAGAATAACAAAGTTAAACAGTTTTTAAAGGAATTATAGAATGATATCATATACCAGATACAACCACTTATATTATTTCAAGAGAATCTCACCTTAAAAATCACTATCAGAACAACAAAACAATTTGAAGAGAATATACAAACTTATTTCAAAATTATGATTAGATATGGTATCATTGTTTTAATGAGAATATAGCCCATAGTTAGTTAAAATACTAATTAAGAAGATATGATAGAGCAAATAATGCAGAAGGCCTTGGCTCATGTGATTAAAACATTGTAAAAAATCATTAAGAAGAAAAATAATATAACAAGTATATCATATAGGTGATTTAGTCCAATTAATGATAACTGGAAATGAAATAAGAGAAGTTATGGTCATATCATCAATAATCTGTTCCATTGTTATACTTGTGACCAGATATAATTTATTTCACAAATGTGTCTTTCAAAATAAAGGTATCAAGAGAACTAAAGTATACTTCCCACCTAAGTACAAACTAGAACCACTCTACCTCAAGTCAATATTATAATGAACTAATTTATATTCTGAAGAGCAAACTGAGCAATCCATTGTCACCAGCTAGTTTCAGACTTGTTAATAATAAAAGTCAACATTACACTAGAGTAACAATAAACTATAACACCTTATCAAACTGAACTCTGACACCAAAACATACAAAAGTTACAAAAATAGCAAATTACACAAATGTGAAAAGAAATATTTCAATAATATGTAAAGCACAAATGGTGAGATAAAAGATAAAAGTGATTCTTGATAATGGATCATTTATCAATATTATCTCTCAAACTTTATAAAGTTATTGTGAAAGAGAATCAAAAAACTACCAGATAGGAGAATTATTAGAATACACAGCAAAAGATGTTTTAGTTTAGAAATTGTATTTCAAATGCTTGTAAGATTAGAGAGCAAAACTATAGCAATAGATATAAAAATTATCGACATGACAAAATATATACTAGTCTTAGGTACAAACTGGTTAAAGAAGGCAAAGGTAATTATTGATTATCAAAAATACAATTGACACTAAAAGACAGTGAAGGAATGGTAGGAATCTCTTGTAGAAACACAAGTACAGTAATACTAAATAGTAAAAATGATGAGAATAGTGAAGATGAAAATCATGAGAATAGTGATAATACTGATTCTGATAAAAAAAGTTTATAGGGCTGACTTATAAACTATCCTCACTAAAAGCTAATGTGATATATAAGGTCACTTCAGAAGAGATATATGTAAGTTCTAAACTTATTAATTGGAAGGCACACAACTATTTAACATACTGTTTCAATTATATTAGGAAAAAAAGGACAAGTTTAGTATACTAGGACTGAAAACATATTGTTGATGTAATTGATATATAACAGTTTTGACTATACCTTAGTTTATTTAGTTAACATGTTAATGATACTTACTAATTTTATTTTTTATTTTATTTTATTCTTTTTATTTTTATTTTTCTATTTTATTCTTTTTATTTTTTTCTTTATATTCTGATAGTGAATGATAACATATATAATTAATATTTATATACAATAGATTTACAATATAATTAATCTCATGTATTAATTATTTATCTTTATTTATTTATATTTTCTTTTATATATATTTTATCATATACAACTATTCAAATTGGTCTTGTAAGACCTAAGATATTATATATTATATATTATATATTTATATTATATAATAATAATTATATATTTTTATATAAATAGTATATTGTGGCAACACAAATTGGTAATCAGGTGAAATGTCATGGGAATAATAATTTGTAGTACTAGATGAACATTTAGATAATTGTTATCCCAAGTAAGATAACTGTACAAGGATGAAGGATGAAGTACAAAGACAAAAGATAAAGTATAAACAAAAGAAAAAGTATAAATATGACTGTTATCAAGTGTAAATTTAAAAAGAAATAGAGATTATACCAGCTAGTTGATTAATTAATACTTAATATTATGGAATAATTCAAAATATTTTAATTATTATTAGATAGAAAAGTAAACTTACTTCAGGAACAGTAAAATAGATATCCTAATACATGATAATTTTTTGTTACTAAATTATATTTTACTTTTAAAAACTTTATATTTTATATTTTAATAAACTTATATCTTGTGTCATAATATTGCAAAATATTATTAAATATTGTTTAATACTGTGTTAATTGTTTTTACTTCACCTTACTTATTGTACCTTCATGATTAATTGATTGATATTTGATTATTATTATTATTTATTATATATTTATTATTTTTTCAAGATAGGCCAATTATTAGCTATGACTTACTGGCAGATATAGCATATTATTATATTTGTATGATGCAAACTTTGAGACTGATTCAAGAAAATATTTGAAATACTTTGTACAAGTGTGATAGAATTTAGTGCCTCCTGTGAAGTGGTATAAAGTATTTTAATACAGTAACTTATAATATAGATATATCCATTTTACAAATTTTATATTCTTTAATAAATTTAGTAAAATATATAATATATTCCTATTACTGGAGAAGATAGTCAAAGAAATTTATAACATTTTGAAAGTAGACAATTTTTTATTATACTAATTATTCTCTTTATAAAAACTAATTTCTTATATTTTATTTCGTGACCTAATAAAATTGATCATCAAAGTAGCTATCAGCATAACAAAATTCTTCTAGATCAAAAGATTTACAACAAAATTGTCAAGTAAAAATTTGAGTAAACAGACAAAATCTTTGAAGGATCATCAAAATTACTTTCATAAAGACTTACAGAATAATATGTCAAATTGCATAAACAAAAGAAAAATATCAAATAAAATATGAGTACAAGGGAATACTCTAATACAAAGCTTTCAAAATGTATTCTGTATAAGAAATGGTGCAAGAATGTTATTCTTTTTCAGAGGAAACCAAAATCCTATGGAATAGTTGGAAGAATTTAATCAATCTGCAAGAATAAACCAATATACTGATGAATATAAACTCCAAGTAGTCAGTGGATATCTATAGGATACAGCAGGACAATAGTTTAACGAAACTCAAGAAGGACAAAATTCCATTAACTATTGGAATAATAAAAACTAAATTTCTTTCAAAATATCCTTCTTGACTACTTTTTAAACAATTGCGTTAATAAATCAATAGAGATTTAAATTACAAATAAAAGTACAGAAACTAGGTGAAAGTGTAGAACAATATTCAAATGATATCAAGAAACTAATTAAACAAATAGATGGTAATAATAGATAAGTGAGGATGAAAAAGTTTGGTAGTTTTTGAAAGGATTATGAAAAGATATTGCTTATCAAGTTAGACCATTTATTATGTTCTAAGAAAAGTCAACCTTGGAAAAGGCAATTCGAATGGTCAATCAATTTGAAGAAAATATTCAAACTTATTTCAAAGCTGCAACAGGATATACTATTACTATTTCTATAAGTATGTAAGGATCTGTATCTTTATGAAATAAAAGTAATGATAGTGAAGATATAATAGAACAAATAGTATAGAAAATTTTCACACCTATTGCCAAAACATTGAAAAAGATTATTGAGAAATGAGAAAGAGTACCTAATACTTTTAATAACAGGCCAAACTATAACAATAACTAGATTAGATATTTCAGCTTGAACAATTTTGTAATAGTTATTGGGAGACATTAGTTTATTATCGAATAGTATTAATAAAAAGTGTATATAAGATAATCCTTATTTTTGAAATTTGATAACATCGATATAGGCAATAATACATCCCAGAACTTCATATTCTACGAGATCCTTTTTTAATACCATTAACTTTTCTCTGAAGATATATATTTTTTTAACAAATTTAAAATTTTACTTAATAAATTTTTAACTAATAAGGTTAATCATGATTACAATGTACGTACCTGTAATATCAGGTCTATCTTCTGCCTTTGTTCAGGAAATAACAAAGTACAGATTTTTGGTTATTTCAGATTACAGGTTATAGTGATGAATAAATCTGGTTTTCCGATACAAATCAAAGCCACTGTGTCTTGATAACATTGAAACATATTGCGAGGACTTTCAACAAATATTGCAGGGAGGATTATTTTACAACCCACATGACGTGATTCATTATCTCCACGAAAAATAGTATCCTTAATTCCTTGGTATAACTTACAATATATCTTAATCTGATTTTTATGTAAATAGTTTAAATGATCAGTTTCTATCTTAATAACATGTCTACTACATATTGTTGAAACAGACGTGTCAATTTTAATATAGAATTGGTAGAATCATGTCTTATTTGAATTCTGTATGAGTAATATTCCATTGCAGTGACAAACATTTTTTGATATGGTGAACTATTATCATTAATATTAAGTATATTACAGTCAAAGTTCTTATTATTATTTATCTGCATTGAAGTATTTGTGAAATTATTGTAAGGTATGCAACAAGATATCCTTCCTTGTTCACCCTGAAGAAAAAAGAGAGGATAAGTCAACAGATCATAACATCAAGCATGCTCTGATATCCGTATTAAATCATTTATCTTCGTGTACAATATAATATCATGCTTTTGTCTTACATTAGGCAGTACGTTTTTGTTTATCCAAATCACAGCTACTTGTGGTGTAGTGGGTACATTAGTTCTCTAGTCTAACTCAGGAATGTTAGTGCAAATAACCAAAGATAGTTTTGTAATATGTTGATTGGATATTTTTAAAATATATTGTAAATAAGCAACATATGGATTATTCATATTAAGCATTTCTTTTAAAGATTGCATAGTTGTAGAATTAATATCAACATCTGGAATGGCATTTAATAAGTGATTAATTTCATGATTTGTATCCCAAGTATATATTTGCAGATATTGTAGATCAGATCCTAGCTCTGGAAGTAACGATCTGATTCAATAATAGAAAGGACCTTAAATACGAAAAGTATATACTCCTGCTTTCATGTTGGCTAATTTACGATCTAATCTAATTCCAACTAATATGAAAGAAAATAGTAAATTGTAGACTCAGATTTTATCTCAAAAATTTTTAGAAACATTATCTTGATCACCAAGTAAATGTTATAATAACATGGACATATTCAGTTTTGTTAATCTTATTTTTTGATTAGAACAACACATTCCAGGTCTTACAGCTGGCAGCTTGATCACGTGACAATACTTATACATAATGCAATTAGAAAAGTTAATTCAATAAGACAAAATTCATCAACAGCAATAATGTTTTCTAAAAAATTGCAAGCTAAATTATGTGACTTATTCGAAATTGCACACTGCATCAGGTGAACATTCACATCATATCATTTTTGACATTGGTATTATTGTTTTTTGTATTTTAACAACTTAGCTTGGTGTTTTTAGATAGTTCTAATTCTTCTCCATTCTTCTTTTATAAAGTAAAGTGTTACATGTGTCATATCTACAATTCAATACAGTCAAACAAATAACAACATAATAAGATCATAATTAAAATGTATTTTTTTTTTCAAGTAAATATGAATTTATAAGAAACTCACTGTCATACTTTTTTTTCAATCAAATAAACAAAACAAACAACTCCACTAATAGTGATACTCATGACAAATCTTTATTTAAAAAAAAAACTCAATGAAGAAATTTAAAAATCAAGGGGTATTTTTAAGAGTGGAAAGACTATAACATAATAACGTATTTTTGTAAGCATACAATGATAATGTTAAGGGATATTTTTCAAGGACAACATTGATTTAACATTTTAACAATGGTTAACTTTTATGTATAGTATGTGAAAAACCTTTAAGTACCAACAATAAATACACAATGACATATCATATTATAAAAATAACAATAAATATAAAAAAAGGAAACCATTAATTAAGGTTATCTCTACTAATAGAGATATACTTAAATCTCTTGTTACAAACTCCACTAAATCCAAAGAAGAAATAAATCTTCTGTTTTGCTTCATTACACTAATTTTCATCTCTTGTAAATCCTTTGATTAAGGAAAACTTTACTATACCAAAGACTGTTTTCCATTAATGTTTGTCACCTGCTAAATTGTTTATTATTAATGAAATAACAAAAAAAAGTGTATACAACCAAATCGCCATCAATAAATAACCTTCTCATATGCCATCACGCTTTTGAAGGTAGCACACGCAATAACATGGTATAACCAATATAACCAATTAAGTTGTTAAAAATTATAATCACAGAACCTGAAAACTACCAATCAAAATTATTTTAAAGGTGACACCTTAGAAATTTACTATTAGTAGTGATTTGTTAATTATATCTTTACATAATTTTTTTATAAACTAGAACCATTGTAAGTCCAAAACAATAATTGTTTAATTGATATTTTAAATATAAAGATATCAAAAAAAGCATTAATTTTTTATTGTCATTTGTTCTTATTTTTATCTCATAATCGTTATCTAAAATTGAACAGAAATACTTTTCAAAGTTATTTTTTGATTTTTATTATAAATTATGTATCAATGTCAAAACTTTTAAGGCATAAAAGACTCCATTTTTGGTATCTCTTTACTTGCCCTTAAATGTCCTATACTATGCTCTGGACAATAATAATCTATTTCATCTCTTTTTACCATTTTTATCATTTATTTGTTGTAGAATTACATGTTTAAAGATTCGAACATAAAAAATGGATTTGTTTTTTGAGATGAGATAGCTGTATTATTCTTATTTTATTTAATTATTAAATATTAATTTTATATTTAAAAATCTACTTCTAAATTCATTTATGTATTTTGAAAGATGCACAAAAGAATCATAATCTACCTTAATTCTATCCATTTTTGATCTTCTGAAATAATAATAATGTAACTTCTTCATTACTTTCATTTTACATACCTGTCACTTATTTAGATTCATTTTAGTTTCCAATAATCATGTAATAGATTTATGTTCTCAGGGTTCTGATATTCTTTTGATTAATGGAAATAAAGATATCTTGATGGATAAATTTAATAAATGAGTTAAATGAAATTAAATTAAATAAATAAAATTAAATTAATTAAACTTTTATTATTCTCAACCTTCTGAGAAACTTTCATGTCATTAATTTGGCATGACTGTTTCTTGAAAAATTAGAGTGTTTGTAGCAGGCTAACGTGTGAATACATTAGCATGGAATAATGAAATAGAATGACTGAGTTCTTTTAGAGGAAGTAAAGTCTTAACAAGTTTTTCGTAGTGAACAATATCCAGGAATTCGTTTCGTTTTCCCAGATTTATTTGTATTCAAATCCCAGTCCTTATAAATATATCGAATATATAAAATAAAATAAAAAAAGAAACTTTCAACAACAGATCTCATGTAGAGAATTGCAGAATTCTGTGAATCATCAAATCTTAGAACACAAATTGTACTTCCCAGTAATCTGTGAGTATACTTGGCTGAAGGCCATTAGAATAAAATTTGTGGTTTTTCCGAGTTTTCCTGCAGTTATAATATTAGTGTTAAAATTATTTATTACTTGGTACAAGATGGAAATGTGCTACATGTGTGGTTCGCTGACTTAGCATATAATCAAGTGGAGGAAAAGAAACTAAGGGTTCCCCTGGTATCAGCGAGTGAAGAGAGAAAAGCTCAAATTTTAAATCTTCCTGGTTTCCAAGTCAAATTGTAATTTGTAGAAGCAATGTCAGTTTGGAGGACTGCTTCAAGATCTTTGGAACAAGACATTATGGAGGGTGAGAATCCCGTGTGTGATCAAGACCAAGATACCTATTATTCATTTTCTAAGAGTCGAGTTGTTTGGGAATGCAGCTCAAAATCGGTGTTAGACTTCAACAAAGGTTAAATGCGATAGCGAGCAAGTACTGTGAAGGAAAGGTGAAAAGAGAGTTAAATAGTAAGTGAAATTATTGAAAGGGTAACGATTGAAGTCATTCATGCTAGTGAAAGTTCAATTTGGCAGGTTTTGTATTCAAGAGACTTAAATGATCATTATTATTACAGATGGGAATAAAAGAATGAAAATAGTAATTAGAGAATTCGAAAGACATTATTTCATAAAAATAAAAGTCTTGAATAGCATGTAGTATTTTATATTTACCTGGTTTATCAATCATAAAATCATCTCAATTCTTCAAACTAGGATTTATATTTTACTCCAAGGTTTCTTTTCCTTCGATGAGATTGATATAAAATAACGTAAAGTATTCCCTGGCCCATTCTTCAGATTTGTAGGAAGATTAGAAGTTTGATCAATATGACATAATTACATATTTTAAATTCTTCCATTTCAAATCATTTTGCATGAGAAGAGAGAGGCCAGTGCGGTTTCATCGACACGAAAAATAAGATATAGACACTTTACAAAATTTTCTAATTATTTCAACTAAATATAGAATGATAAATAAAAAGAGTAATCAGGCAAGAACCTTTTGTTTAAATAAGAAGAGTCTGGATCTTTTCGGATGGCTTAATTATCATAGTATTACCGGTCGTAATAGGTAAAGGGATAATAAAAGGAAAATTCCTGATGTAACAGCTAAAAATTCTTGATATCCATTTTAGACGAAACGTAAATTGTTCACCCATTAATAAATTGGTAATAATACAAGCTTTGTTCCATCACTTGTAATTATCGATAAACATCTCATTTAGCATCCGATCCAAAAATGTTTTCGCTTGTACCTCGGTTATGGATTTTGCGATTTTATCATATCCCTTCTAATCGAATGTTGAAATTCTAATAAAATTCGTTGCCTGGTGAGAGCTGTAGTTTTAAGCCTTGCTTTAAATTTATCAGCAGAGTTATCAACAGTATCTTATAATTCTTGAAGGGTCGGTTCCGGAACAAGATTTATTACCTTGTGTAATATTTTTTTTTTTTTTTTATTTTTTTTATATCCAACGGAGTCTTGCTCCAATAAACTTTATTAATAGATTAAGTGTAAATTTTAAAGATACAGATA